AGGCCCTGGCTCGAACGATTCTTGGCGTTTCTCGTGTTTCGGCGGAGTCGAAAGCCCCCGCACAGCATACATGCAGTTGATGGCGGGACGCGTTTTGTTTCTCCTTCTTCCACGCGCCATCGCTAGCCGAAGTTACTCACGCTGGAGGGCTGAGCGCTCGGTGACGGCACGATCACCGTGGAGCTCCATGTCTTCGACCGACGCCGAGGATGGGAGCGAGCCAGTGCACAGCACAGGGGACTATCACCGCGCCTTCCGAGCCAGACTCGCCAGAGGGCGGGTGAAATCTGAGGCCGACCTAAATGAAGGCCAGGACGTCGCGGCACACTCCAGCTATGTGGTTACTTCAGACGGCGACACAGCTTACTCGCCTGAAGCTCGGATCTGGGATCGCCTCGACTACATCATCATGCCTTCCCCACGGATGGAGCCCACGCGGATTGCTTCATGGGACGGCATCACAGTTGCACAACGATGGCAGTTGGGACAAGGTGGGCATACGTATGCAGTATTCCTCCGTGGCTTGTGTGGAGGAGTAAACCCGTCTGTCCGCTGTCGCCGCCGAGGAGGAGGACATGGCCGAGAGCATTTTGCTGCAGGTCCCTGCGGCACCCCAGGTGGCGTCCGCTGCCAGAGAGAAGGCCCCCCAGAAGAACCCGTCCCAGGCGTCGCGCTGCTGGACCGGAGCGACTGACCGCCACCGCGTGCTGACCGAATCCATGCCACAACCCCGTGGGGCGTCGAAGTAGCATGAGTTTGCGGGATTTATGATCGACGACGACCATGCTCCTCGCTCCACGCCGTGAGCTCAAGGAAGTGAGGTCGTAGACTCGGATGTTGGGTATACTTCAGGTGAGTCCACCAGGTTGCATGCACCAGTGCTCACTTGTCAGTAAAGCCTGCCGCAGGCGCCTGGTTAGTTTTGTGCATTTGTTTGTCCAACGCTTGCGCCTCCTCGTCCGCGTTCCTTCCTTCTTGGCCCGCTGCGCTGATGACTTTGAGTTCGGCTCGGCCCGCAGCCCTGCCCTTGGATGGCCTGGAGCGTTGCCGACTTCGCATTGTTGGTAAGGGCGGCCCCCGCTCTGCTGCACGATGCTTCTCCTGCGCACGATGCGTTGCGCCGTTTGAAAGTCACTGCTCGTCGCCAGCCCGTGGCCAGAGGGTCGCGTGCTGATGCGTGGGCTTTCCCACCAGGCGGTGGCAAGCTCGCATGTTGCGCCCGCGCGCGCGGGCCGACCTGGCGGCGGGCCCCGCGGATGCTCGCGAGACTTCTGCGTTGGGGTCGCGTCTTCAAAAAAGCGCACGATCGAAATCTCCCATCGTATGAGGCGGAGGGGCGCAATTGTTTTTTTCGCTGGTGGGTGGCGGGAAGCGTCTTCGAGAGGCTCGAAGCAAGAGTTGGACTTTCTAGCTGTCATTGTACCACATCTTATTATAATAGTACACTCTGTCTTGGATTGCCAGCTGCATGTTCTTGATCGCTGGTGGGTGACGGGCGGCGACTTCGTGGCTGATCGCACGGGATCATTCGTTAGCGGATCACCAAGATGAGCATTTCGCGTGAACCGTCATCCTATGTTTGAGGCGTTCGCAGCATCGTTGTTTACAATATCCATCGTTTCGCCCCGGACAACCTCCAGGAACGAAAAATCGCAAATGTGCCGCGTTTTCGGAAATGAGCGTCTCGCTGGAGACATCCTCGAACAAACCATATGTCGACAGGTTCCTACTTCCTCTGATGTCGACATCGGCGATCTCGCTCGAGACATCCTCAGAACATTGCGAGGAGCATGGCGGACCAACAGAGCTGCATCTTCGACGTCGTGCTAGAAGTACCCATCTCGCGAGGGACATCGCCACAACAATTCGACATCGTTTCTGAAGGGCTTCAACACGGTAAAAGGCCGGAAGCCCAAGATGATTCCAAGAGCGCCCTGATGACGGGCGAAAATATCGGTTGCGCCAGGGACACCTGGCCCGAAGGAGCGTTCTAAACATTGCAACATCGCTAGGGACATCGTAACACATACCGCATTGGTCCAATATCGCACCGCATCGATCGCCGGGGGCATCCAGACGGCCCCACAGGGCCCATAACGAGCTCCAACATGACTTCAAGAGCGCCCGCCAGACGACCGACAATGACGGTCTCGCCACGGACATCCTCGCCAAGCTAAGTACGCACCAACATCGTCGTTTGCAAGGACAAGCGTTTCGCTTGAGACACCTTCCGAACATTGAAACTCGCGAAGATGACGAATCTGCGAACGTGCGCGCTTCGATCGACACATCCTCACCAAAAATGATATGTTCAGAAAGCTGCCGCGCTGCCCCCCCCCCCCCCCCCCCCGTTGAAAACAACGCTTTTGGCGCAGACGTCGTCCGGAAAAAATAGGAGGCGCACGGCGCGCCGCCATAGCTGAACGATTCGACGTCTTATTTGACATTGGCCATCTCGCTGGGGGCATCCTTCAAAAAGTTGAGAGCTGAGATCTGCTCGATATCGGTTTGATGTAGCTTTCGGAGACCAGCGCGGCAGACCAGCACGGCAGACCAGCACGGCAGACCAGCACGACAGGCCAGCACGGCAGACCAACGCGGCAGATCAGCACGGCAGACCAGCATGGACACCAGCCATTCCGCAGCCATCTTGGCTCGAGGCCACGGCGCACCCGGCGACCGCGAGTCGCCCGCGGTTTCCCGAGCGCTAGAGGCTCCGCGCTGAGAGCCTGATCTACGTTTGGAGACATTGCCAGCAGCCCGCGGGCTACCGACTGGGCCACCGCGGGCGGCCATGGCGCGCAGCCTTGCGTTCCGTTCGGCGTTTGGGTGCCATTCGGCGCGCTGCGCTGGGGCCTGCCGCGCGCGGAGCTGGGCTCGGCGACGCAAGTGCGGCCCGCGCCTGGGCTGCCGCGCGAAAGCGCCGCTTTAGGTCATGCCGAGGGCCCGAGGCGCCAGAGAGCGAGCCCCCGCTTGCGCCGCCCACAACAGCCGCCGGGAGCCCGAGCAGCTTCGCAGGCCCCCCCTCGCGCAGCTCGACGGGCAGGAGAAGGCATGGCCGGCAGACAACTTCCTGACGGCGCGGGCTGAGGCGCGCCAGCAGATGGAGGCCGCGCGCTCGCGGCTCCCACGGGCCGCCAGCGAGACGCCGCCCAGGGGCCGCCTGCGCGAGACCTGGGCCGGGAGCTGCCCCGTGGATCACGACGGGAGCGACGGCGGCGGCGCAGCGGGCTGCGCCGCTGCCAGGGCCCCCGCCCATCAGGCAAGCGGAGCGCGGGCGGCCCAGCCAGCCTCCAGCCGCGGCCAGGCCGAGCGCTTTGGCGACGCCACGGGGCCGCCCCCGCGGGCGCCGTTTCCAAGCCCGTCGGCGGGGCAGCTGCAGTAGCAGAAGCGCGACAGGAACAGCGACGCCGTTTCGACGAAAGCGCGGGTGGCCAGGCGGGCCGCAGGTCTTGCAGGAGCATTCCTCGAGCACGGCGCGCTTTGGTCAGTTCGCTGGCGCGGCCAGGCGGGCACCCAGCGGGCGCCCAGGAGCTCGCGGGGCCCTGCAGCAGTTAGCCATGAGCGACGCGCTGGACAGGCCCCAGGCCGCGAGGCGCAAACCATTGACCCGGGCCTTGCCGACGGGGGGCATTCCGAGGCGAGCAGCGCAAAGGGGAGGCGGGGAGGACGAGCACCCCCTGGGCCACCCAGCGGAGGCGGCGGGGGACAGGCGGGCGGCGCGGAAGGGGCCGCCGCGGCCAAAGGGCCGCCCCACCCATGGTCGCCAGAACCCGACGGCCCCCAGAGATGGGTTTTCAAGCGAGGAGACCGAGCATCATGGCGCCCCGAGGCCGCAGGTCGGCCCGCCCGGTCAAAGGGGTTCTCTCCCTGCCTGGAGCGCAAGAGGAGTCGTGCACTTCGGTTTCGGCGAGCGGCGTGTCAGAGTCTTTGCTGCAAGTCGGCCCGCCTGGCACGAGGGGCCCCATCCCTGCCTGGAGCGCAGGGGGAGTCGCGCGCTCCGACGTCGGCGGCCTCTGGCAGCCTTGTCATGGCGAGCCCGCGAGCGGGCGGGCAACCACAGAATCAGCGGCGGCCCGAGCGGCGGACCACCGCTTCATGAGTGCGCCGCAGCAGGCCTCCGCGACGGCCTCGAGGTGCTGGGCTGCCTTTCCACTTGCACCGCGGGCGCTGGCCCCACCTGGCCATCATCCAGGAGACTCGCCCCATCCGCCATCAGCCGGCAGGCGCCAGCGGGCGAGCCCGCGGCCTAGGCCACGCGGCCTTCCTGCAAGCGGCCACGCCCACTGGCAAGGAGAGCCCCCCGGTGAACTCAGGCGGCGCGGCGGCCCTCGCGCGCGGCGACCTCCAGGCCGAGCCGATCGATTGGGAGCCGCCCGCGGACTTCGCATGCTGGTTGCCGCCGCATCGGCGACGTCGGGGTTCGAGGTGCTGGCAGCCCCCCATTTACTTCCAGCGCTCCATCAGGCCCAAGGATGGCAGTCTCGACCTGTTCGCGCCTTAGGCAGCATGGCGGCGGCGACTGGCCGCGCGCCGCGGCTCCTGCAGGTCGACTTCGACATGGAACCAGGGCCCTTCGACAAGCTCGGCTGGCCCACGGGGCAACGCGGCGCCTACTTCGGGCCGCGCGAGCCCACCTGCGCGGCGCAGAGCCACGAGCACGAGCGCGACTGTTTCGTCAACGCCTGCAGCCTGGCCCACTACACAGCCACGCGCAAGGTGCTGAACGGTTACGGGCCGCCCCCCAACAGGCCAGTGTTGCTGCAGCGGGTTTGCGAAGGCCGCCCCACCCCCACAGTTCAGCGACCCCGGCGCAGAGAGACATATGGCGGGCACGCTCGCCGTCGGCCAGCTGGAGTCGAGCCGGCAGGCCCTCTGGCAGCAGGAGGGTTTAAAGGCAGGCGCTGGCGTCGAGCGCTGGGACACGCGTGGATGGAGCCTCCCGCCGCTGTGCCTGGAGCAGCTGCCGGCGGCCCGCCGACGGCGCTTGCCCGCGGCAGGTTTTCAGCGCCGACCAGCTCCACCCGAGACAGGTGCGCCTGCTGCCAGCGGCGACGCAGCTGCGCTTGATCGACCTCCTCGCGACCGTTTCTTCGCCGAGGCGCCTCGTGGAGTTGGCCACGATGATCGTCTTCATCCCCGAGGCTGGTGGAGGGGTTCGGCCGATCGCCACGATCCGCTGACCCCTCGGCTGCGGACAGGCTGCGGCAGCCGATCTGCTCCCGACGGGAGGCCGAGCACGACCACCGCTCTTTTGGGGAAGGCGGACCGAGGCCGCGAGAAGGCGGGCTGGCTGCGCAACGCCGTCGCTGCTTTCGCGAAGGGGCGCGGCCTCGCTGCTGGGAGCCTCTTCCTGGACATCGCCAAGTCTTACGAGAACCTGCGGCACGACGCGCTCTGGCGGCGTGCGATCGCCCACGGGTTCAAACCTCCGCCTCCTCCGAGGCCTGCCGGTGATGCACCGGATCCCGCGGATCCTGAGTTTCGTGAGTCTCGCCTCGTCGACTTTCACCACGCTGCGGCCCTCGCGGGGCGTGCCTGCGCGACCGCCGCGGCCAAGCTGCCCGCGCTGGGGGCGCTGCAGACCGCGTCGTTGGGAGGGCGCCCGCTGGCGGTCGCCCGCAACGCGGCGGGCGACCTCGCGCCCCAGGCGGTCGGCACCGAGCGGCCGGCGGCGCGGCAGCTCGGCAGCGCAGACCCGGAGGTCGCCAGGCTGTTGGGCCAGGGGCACCCGCACTTCAGCGCGGCGAAGACCAGCCGCCTGGCCTCCAGCCCCGCGCTCTCGAAGCGGCTCGGCGATCTCTGGAAGGGCCATGGCTGGACCTTCCACCGCGCCATGCAGGCGCGGCACCTCGGCACAGACGCCGACATCACCAGGCGCGGCGCCCACGCGGGTCAGAGCAGGGCTGTCGGAGCCTCGACGAAGGCGCGCAGGCTGCGATGCCTCAAGGCGGCGGGCGCGCAGGTGGACCTCATCCTCAAGGCAGGCCCCGCGGCCGGGATGGTCCTGGGTCGCACCACCGCGGGCATTTCCGACGGCGAGCTGCGCTGCTGGCGGGCCACGGCGGCCCGCGGCGCGGGCAAGCTGCCCAGCGGCGCTGCGCTGGGCTTTCGCTTACTTTGCGCTGAGGCGGCGCGGCGGCGCGACCTCGACCCAAGCGCGCCGGCGATTGGCCCCGCGGCGCAGACGCTGGCAGCTCTCCTCCAGTCGGGCGAGCTGCCGAGCCGCGCGCTGGCCAAGGGCCCGGAGACTGCGGCGGCCCGCCACGCAGCGGTGGTCAATCCATGGGTACACTGCGCCTCCCACGTGGATGCCGCGGCGCTGACGATGTCGCGGATCGGCTGGCACTTCGAGTCTGAGAGGTCCTTCGTCACGGACCAGAGGAACAAGCTCGACCTCGCCCTCCTGGGCCCAGGGGAGCTCGGCGACGAGGCGGGCTTGGGTGCGCGGCGGGCTTCCGACCGCCACGAGCTCGCGAAGCTGGCCAAGGACGGGAGCTGCCGAGAGCCCCTTTCCTGGGATGCGATCGCCAGCTCCCCGGGGCCCGGCGGGGACCTGGGCGCGCGGGAGCAGCGGCCTTTGTCTCCTACGTCTCCAACGCGCACTGGCCCAAGTGAGGCCCCACCGCGCTGGCCAGCAGGAGCGCGGCAGGCGCTGCGAGTTCGGAGCGGCTCGTGGGGCGCTGTGGCACAGGCTGTTCGGGCGCCCCGCGCTCGGGGGCGCTCGGCGAGATAGCGAGCCAGCGCGCCTCCGCCACCGCGCAGCCAGGCCCCGAGCCCGCGGCGAGGAGGCAGGCGAGAACGCCGCGACGCGTTGACCACCCACCCACCCCGCCCGCAAAGCAGGAGCCCCGCTCGGATGGCACGCAGGCGCGGTAGATGCGGCTGCCCGACGGCGACAAGCTGACTGGGAATATGTACCTGGACGGCCCCGCGGTGGAGCCCAGCTACGTCGCCTTGCGCAGAGCTGGGGCGATCGCGCAGTGCGACGACGACGGCAACGTGGTGGCTGGCGTCTACGGCACCGCGCAGCGGGACCTGTGGCCGCAGCAGACGGACAAGGACGGCGATGATTTCGCGGTCTGGATGCTGCGCAACTACGCGGGGGCAGCGGTGGTGGAGCTCAACGTCGAATGCAGATCCACGGTGTCATGCCTGCGGCGCGGGCGCGCCTACGCCACGACCGCCAACAGGCTGAACACCCACCTGCGGGCGAGGGCCCACGCGGCCTTCGAGCAGGGGGCGTTCGCGGTGAACAAAGCGCAAGCACACTGCACCAGACAGGCCGTCCTGGATGGGAAATTGACCAAGGTCAAGCGGCGCGGCAACGTGCACGCCGACAGGCTGGTCAAGGCATGGGCTCGGTTGCGCACGTCGACGCGGGCACTGTCAGCGAGCACCACGCACACGCGGAGGCGGCCCACGAGCTGGCGAGATGAATCGGCCAGGCTTCGATCGCCCTGCAGGGCATCGAGGCCAAGGACACCGAGGGCATGCCTGAGCGCGACGAGCGGCGCCACGTCCAGTCCGCGGAGCTTGCCGAGGAGCCCCCGGCCGACGAGCAGGAGGCGAACCGCAGGCGGCTCGGCTGCCCCGGCTAGCGGCGGGGCGGCGGGCACGGCAGCCTTCGCCATCTTCGGCCACGCGCTCGCCGACGCCCGCCGTGGCCGAGGCGACGACGAGGAGGAGGTCATGGCGCGCCCCTGCCGCGGCGCCCACGCGCGGGTCGGAGAGGGCAGCGGGGCCCAGCCAAAACTGAAGAGCTCAGGCGTCGGGCACGCGCGGGCCACGGCAATCAGGGTCTTGGCCAGCCAGCGGAGCCTCTGGGAGCAGGGCGCCCACCCTGCAGGGCGCCCATGGCAGGCGCGGCAGCGGCAGCGGCGCCAGGAGATGCGCGAGCTCCGCAAGGAGCAGGCAGTCCCCGAGGACCCGCGCCCACGCAGGCTTGTATTGGCTTCCAGGGCGAGGCGGATGTCACCCCAGACGCGCCGCTAGCACTGGTGGAGCAGGAGGCCCCGCGGCATGCGCGCGGCGCGCGGCGCCGAGGCGGCGGCGCCCCAAGCCCCCCCCCCCCCCGAGCAGCGCCGAGGAGCCAGTTGCAGGAGTCCGCGTCGGCCACCTCGCAGCCCACGGCTTCGACGAGGGCGAGATGGGCGACTGGGCGGCAGCCGCAGCCGCAGCCGGCGGCCAGGAGCGCAGACGCGCGCGCCGCCGTCTGCGGCCGAGCCGCCGCTAGAAGGGCGGCGTGGGCGGGGCTTTGGCGACGGCCGTTACTAGACGTGAGCGAGCAGCAACAGGCCAGCGCGGCCCCGCAGGCCATTCGAGCTTCGCGGGGGCGCCCCACAGGGGACGCGCGCTGGCCCCAGCAAATTGAATCGTTTTCCCTTCGCATGTCCTCCACGCGTTTTTGCCCGTGCGCATGTTCTCACGGCTGCACAGTGTTCGAGTCTGCTTGCGAGGGAAGCGGCAAGGACCGAGGTCACGTTAAGGTTGTCGGCAGTGATATGTTTGCGCGTTCTGGGGGCCCTCGCGTTAGGTCTTGTCGGAGGGATTGGGGGGATCGGCGCCCTGGGGTTGGGCCCATAGTCACGCCTTTCGGCCGGCCCGCCCCCGCAATTCCCAGGCCCTAAGTGGCCGCCCCATTTGGTTGAGCTAAACGCCCCCCTCCTCTCTTTGCCGTTATGGCCTTGCCGTGCCATGCCACGCGGATGCCAGTGCGGCAGACCAGTTCGGCAGATTAGCGCGGCAAACCAGCGCGGCAGACCAGCGCGGCAGACCAGCACGACAGATCAGCTAGCCAGACCAGCACGGCAGACCAGCACTGCGGACCAGCACGGCAGACAAGCACGGCAGACCAGCATGGCAGACCAGCACTCCGCAGCAGTCTTGGCTCAATGCCATGGAGCACCCAACGACCGCGAGTCGTCGCTTTGGGCCAAGTGAAGTTTCTGGTCCGCTGTCTCTTCCAGAGGTGTTTCGGCGCGGCTCGCACTGCGCGGCATGTGCAATGGCCCGCTCGGTCTCCCGCGGCAGGAGCGGCAGCGGCGGCAAGTGTCGGGTGCGCAGCGGGTGCCGCGGCTGGAACTGGGACTGGCGAGCCCGGTGCAAGGCCCGCGGGTCGGCAGCGCCACCGTGGGCCAAGGGCAGCGGGCAGGCCGCGCGCGCGGCGCCGGCGGCCCCTCAGCCCAAGGCCGACGTCGACGGCTGGGCGGAGCAACCGCGGGGGCGCCAAGCCCGCCGCCAGGCGCGCGGGGCGACCAGAGCGGCGCCCCAGGCTGCGGGGGCCAGCAGCAGCCGCAGCAACATCAACGTCCTTGTCCATTGTCGAAGCTCCATGGTGACCCACTCGAATACGGTGGCCACTCCAGGAGGACGAATCGACCGGGGGGATTTGGATATCGCCTACAAGCGGAACTTGGACATCGATTTTGCTGCCATGCACGCGGCAAGTTGGGAGCCTGACGAAGAAATTTGACTCTACATCTCCTGGTGGAAATTCTCAATGACAAGACCACTGTCCCACCTCGCAAGAACTACGGATGCCTCCCCCAGGTACCTCCCGAGGTGAAGGGACCGCACAATGGTTCTCGCCATGAGGTGGTACATCAGGATGTTCGGGACCTGGGAGCCCCTGCCGGGGACGACTACCATGCCTGGATCAACGTGGACGACCTCATTGAGCTAGCAGACCCCTACCAGCATGTAAGCAGTGGCTAAGAAGAAGACCCTTCAGATGAAGCAAGACATGGCCAAACCAGAAAAGGCGGAAGGACAGGGTGCAGACGCGGACCAGACGATGCAGGACGAGCCGCCCGAGTTCGAGAGGAACTGGCGCTGGGCCACCGACGACGTAATCTACTATTTGGCACTGAAGAGCCGCGCTCAACACCAGCTGGACGCACAGGGTCTGAACCTCAACACCGCCATCAACGATCCCCTGTCGGAGATGATGGCCGTGCAGCATCAGTATCCGAGACAGCCCCCCTTCCAAGTCTGGCCGAAGCTGTTGACGCAAGTGCGACTCGGCATCGCAATCGGCAGGACCGAGTCGTGCAATGCGTATGAGTACGAGACCTTGCAGAGCTACCTGGAGACAGCAGCCGAGAGCGGTGACTACGAGCCCCTCTACGCGCATTTTCAAGTGTGCAAAGACGACGGTCAAGGACCCTCCCGATGTTCACCCAGCGTCAGCGTTTCCTTGGAAGCAATGCATCGACCTGCCTGGCCGGGCCCCTGCCGCGCTGGCCATCATCCACAGCATGAGCTACAACGAGCTCCCGAATGTCGACAGGAACCTTTGGCACCTACCTCAGGAGGAGAAGAAGTGCGTCGTCGACATCTGGGGAGAGCCGGGAAACGAAGGCGAGAAGCCTCTCGAGGACATCATGGACCAGATCAGGGTCTGCGGCGAGAACGACGAGAAAGATGAATTGGCAAGCCTTCTGGAGAACTTCAGCGAGTTGTCTTCCGCTGTGGGGATGCGCGAAGGATTCGTCGAGAACCCTTCACCAATGGACGAAGCCGTCGAAGAGGCCATGAAGGCTGCGGTGACTATCGACCATTAGACCTCTACCCCAGGACTGGGGCACTCCTCTGACCCAAGAAAGTACATCATTGCTCACTGGGGGAAGGCCCATAATCTGTCCCGGAAGAGAAAGGCGGTTTTCAACCGAGTGATGAGCTCCAAAAGGTAGACGCGCCCCAAGGTCGACGCGACGAGGGCGCACCTACTCGACCTTCTCCTTCACTACGGTTGTTTTGACCGTCTTGGTTCGGGAGGTTCACTCTGGGAGATTTAGGTGGCCAAAGGATCCAGCTTTACTCGCGTGCATCTCTCGGGGCTCATCGATGGCCCTCTGGTTAAAGGTCCAATTGCACATCCAACCGGACCGCGGCGGGCCATGGATATGTCGACAACATGCGCCAGGGAAACGCAGCGGGACAAGGAGCGCAGCAAGAAAGGGGCCAAGATCGAGACCGCCTACCATGGCGCGCACTGGCATCTATCTGGAGCAAGAAGGACCTGTTCGAGCTGAAGCTAGGACCTTCGAGCAGCGCAAAGTCATGTGGCATCTCCTGCGAAGGAACACTTCGCCGCGCCTCCTGCACTTACTACACGGTGCACTTGTCGTCCGACGTCGGCCCCGAGATGAGCCTGTGGCCCTGCGTTTTCGAGCAGCAGGTGGACCGCAATCGTCGCGCAGGCTATCCCAAGATGCTCGCCCATAAGCAGCGGTGCCAGACCGAAGGCGGCGGCTACTTCAATGCGCTCTTCATCCACACGACGACGATGAGGGGGATCTGGGACAAGGCACAGGCGAAGCAGCAAGTCTCTGGAAGGCATGGGCTCTGGAATCGCACGGTCAGGATGTGCCTGGCGGCGCGGGCTATCCCCACAGCGTTTCCGAGTGTCCGCGCGTACTCCGACGAGAAAATCGAGGACTCAGACCTGACGGTTCTCGAGGTCAAGCTGATTCCCAAGAACGAGAAATGGGCCCCTCAGTGGACCAAGGAGCTCAGCGCAGCAGATCGCTACCTGGAGCGAGCTGGCCAACAACACGACCTCCGCGGAGTCGAGCCGCAGAGTTTCATGGATCAGATGGGGCAGGCTACGGACACAGCGTAGTCTGGAGATTTCACAACGGACCCCCTGCTGGGCAATAAGGACCTCTCCTAGAGGTATTCTCAAGGCCCACGCGTTCGCGGCTACGCGCCGGCTGTGCGTCGTAGACGCTTTGGGATTACATGATGGCTACGGCATGTACTATAAGTGGAAATGCACGTTCTGAGGCGAAGCGGCGTTTCGGCTGCAAGAAAGGCAGGAGCTGCGGTTGCAATGCCAATTTCAGCCCCCCCCCCCCCCTTACGCGCCGCCAGCTCGGCTCGCAAGGTTCGTTGAGCTATCGCGGCGCGCCGTTGACGGACGCACCTCAGCCTCCGCAAAAGGAAGGAGAACGTGCTCTCTTCAAGCGCGGCCCCCCCCAACTTGCAATTCGTGTCTCTCTGCATCCAAAAGCTACTCCGGTGCAACCCACAATCTAGGCCTTGATTATGCAGCAACTCCTCAAGCGTCCATCTGGGAGCACGCTCCAGAATGGTGATCCTTGCGGGGTGGTGTTGTTCTCACCCGATCCTGTGAGTTTGGCTTGGACTGGCCTAGAATCCATGCGCGCGCGAAGCGCGCGCGTGGTTCTTGCGGTGTATAATTATATATATATATATATATATATATATATATATATACATACATACATATAGTTTATATATATATATAGACATACACATATACATAAACATGCGCATCTGCACACATGCCAAAGGAACATATACATGCACATTTGCATGCACAAATACATATACATATACACAAACACATATATACAAGCTTACATGTCTTAACCAGCGTGGAACCCAAACGAAAAATGATCACACTGTGGATGCGTCGCGTAAGCTACGTGGCGCAATCTACGCGGCGCACGCCATGCGGCGCAGCATACGCGGTGCAAGCTAGGGGCGGCGACGCAGCGGCAACGGGCGTCAACGAGATGAAACCTCGCCGAAGCCACCCAGCGCACGAGGCGGCCACTAGGCAGCCGCGGGCGGCAACGAGGCGGCCACGGACGGCGACGCGGCGAAACCTCGCCGGACCCACCCAGCGCACGAGTTTGCCACGAGGCGGCCACGCGCGAAAACGTTGTGAAACCTCGGTGGACCCACCCAGCGCACGAGGCGGCCACGAGGCGGCCACGGGCGGCAACGCGGCGAAACGTCGCCGGACCCACCCAATTCCAAGGTGAAAAGATTTCATCGAGGCGAATGCTGCATTACGGCGCCTTAAGGACGCCAAGCCAACGACACTATCGCCATCAAATCCATACCCTTTTCTCGTCTCCGCCTGGTCGCTCTGTGCGATTCGGGCCTGGACC